ACACACACACACACCAGTACTAAGAATATTATGCCAGAAAAAGTAAAGATAGTGGAGTGGGGTGTGGGAACAGGTGAACTAACCTGGATTAGGAGGTCAGAAGAGGCCATGCTGGTGGTGACAAAGATAATGATATCCCAGCAACAAGAAGAACCCAGTCATATGAACATTGTGACATCTGTCATCAGTAAATGAAGCAATGACCAGACCCCTAGCAGGACAGGTCTTTGGTGGTTCAGGGAATGAAATGAAAACCAGGGTGGCTGTGAACGAGGACTAGGAAATTTACAGAGATGGTGAAGAACTACTCTCAAGATGGCTGCCCAGATGTCCCAGAACAGTGGACATAGGTTCCTTGCAAAGACAGCCCTGTGAATCTGGTCCTTTCCCTATAGCTTGACATCACCATATTTGCCCTTCTGCCCAAAGATGGAGACTAGGCACAGAAAACAGGAAGCCTGGGCTATCTTCCAACAAACACCTGCTATTTTCCTTTATTCGTTTACTTGTTTTATACGCAAAGGCTGTATTGTATGAAATGCATGGCATCTCACACATCAGACAAGTGTCTTAGTAATTCTCGATCATTTTGAGCTGTCCCTTCTATATCAGGCACACGTATACCCTTTACATGAGCTCTTCTCTCTGGTTGATACACTCTTCCCTCAGAAACCTGGGCAGCTCATTTCCTCACATACTTGAAGGCTTTGCTCAGAACACATTCCCACTGTATCTCCATCTCCACCATCAACTGTGCTTTATTTTTTCCCAAGGACGTATCACCTTGTAGTATACTGTAAAACATCATTTTCCCCATCCTGGAAGGTAGACCCTACAAAAGACAGGGATTTCTTTGCTTTTTTTCCACTGACATGCACCAAATATATAGAAGAATGCCTGTGATGTATAAGGTGCTCAGTAAACATTTACTGAATTGAAATGAAAATTCTCAAAAATAAGTTTATCAAAAATCTCGAAAATCCATAAGTGCTTTGTCTACAAGACTGAAATCAGCATGGAATAATCAACAATTAACTTTTTTCTTCTAATATTCTGTTCAAAATACTCTGACCAATTCTATAGCCCATTCCTGAAGAATATTTTATGTAAAATGTATAGTTTCTTGCATCACCTTTGAGTATTTCTACAGTCTCATTTTCAAGTCTGAAAAGATGGAGTCAAATAAAAAGCTTCCCTCTCCGCTCCCTAGGCTATGCCTCAGATCAGAAACTTTATTAGGAAAGACATTCCTGATTTTTCTCACCCCCCATTTTCCTCCTCTTTTCTTTCTAGGCTCCCCACACACCAGCACTGAGAATGATGAGTAAAAATAAAGATAAATTTGTTTAAACCAGTACCATCATACTTGTGGCATCTGAACCTTCAGGGAGGCAAGTGGCCTCCTGTGAGATTCTCAGGGCTGCACTAGTGGGGACTTCTTCACGGGGAGCAATTGAAACTACATTCCACCTGGACATCAACCATGCACCCTACGATCCACCTCCAGGACTCCCCTAAACATAAGACCTAGACACCCGGGCTCTTCTATCTAGAGAGGCAGGCTTCCTGGGCAAGGTCTTAACAAGTCCACC